ATGCAGGCAAAAGGGATAGGGAAAAGCTGAAGAAATACACCAGAAGAAATTTAAGAAAAGGTTTTAAAGAAAAAGAAAAGCAGAGTCCCTCGTACTCTTACAAATTTAAGATTGTTTTGAATAGCTTAAAATATATTTTATGTATACGAATATTTCGATATTTTCTTATTCTGGCATCGGTGTACAAAAATTTCTCTCAGTTTTCGTACCGAAGGGCCACAGCTTGTGTCGGTTCAAGTGGGAAGAGAGATAAGAAATGGGTATTTCGGATATCGGAGGTCGGAAAAGAGGGAAAAGCGAGCGCAGCTTTCCAGCTTTTGTTTTTGCACTGAAGCATTCGAAGACCGCAAAACGCAGTTACACCAACACCCCTCACATATGGAGCATAAAGCAGAGACCAAACACCAACAAAAAAAAAAGGATTGGTAAAAGAAAAACCCGAAACTAACCGCAATTTTCGAGGCGCTTGCATGCGATAGAAATAGAAAAAAAATAAAACTAAAAAAAGGATAAAATGAAGCTCAGTCTTGGTGAAAAGTTTTATGAATCGAGGGGTTTAGTACCTTCACTTTTTAAGAAAAATACGAAAAACTACCTTTAAAATTGTATAAATTTATTTATTATTTCACAAATTTGAATTATCTTAAATATTCCGTTGAAAAATTTTTAAATAAAATAACCAAAACAATATAATGGAATTTGGGTTTCTTCTAAACAAAGTCTTTATTAATCTAAATTTTAAAAATAAAGAATTCAGAAATCATGTACCCTGAATAGATTTTTTTTAACCCTTTAAATAAGCCTCACCAAAAATTAAAAAAAAAAAACTAAAACATATCAGATGGCGCCGTTATATTAATGCTTACTTCGCCAACAAACTGCTGCTGCTTTCACTTTTCACTTCTTTTTTTCCGCTTGCCTTTTATTGCTTTATATTTTATTTTATTTGGGCTCACATTCATTCCTATTTTATTTGCTGACCGAAGGGAAACCGCAGAAAATAAAAAGCAGAAAATCAACATTTGGAGCATTTTCATTTACTAATTTTTTCTCTTTTTTCTTTACTGGAGCGAGTAAGTCCCCTGCTTTAGTTATTGATTTGGAGGGTTCATTGATATGTGTTTTCCCGGGGAAAACTTTGCAGACGAAGGGTCGTGCCCCACTCTATATTTCCGAGTGTGTGATTAATACATTTGGTCAGGCATTAAAAAAACACACAGAGAGAGAGGGAAAACCAACTCAAACTGAACTCTGTTTTATTTGACTTAACCACTTCAGAGTGCCATGTGCCGTGTGTTTTTTACCCTCTATTCGTGTGCTGCTCCCTTTTTTTTGGGATTTTTTGTATTATTTTTTATTTGGCCCGACTTTAAGGACTCTTGAGTAATGATGGCCAGACCAAAAGTGAACTGAATCCATGGCGGGGGGAGACTCCGCAAATTTGCGGCAACCTGGGGTCGTTCGCAAAAGAGAAAAGGAAAAGTGCTGACATGTTATTTGTGCAGTTAACGAGCTGAGTTATTTTCCAGGGAACAAACCGCACTTGAATACAATAAAATAAGGAAAATAAAACCACCAGTATAAATTGAGGGGTAAAATAAAATCAAAATAAATATAAAAAGGACCAAGAGGCCGAAGAACCTACCAGCTTTACCCTTATTAATTTTTGGTTTCTGCTTAACAAATTATACAAAATGTATTTTTGACCTGGCAGAAAGTTTGTTATTTGTTCATTTGATTGGCGCTCATTTAATTTGAAAATGTAATATTTATGCGTCGATGGCCTCCACCTTTTCGCACACATTTTTCCAAAATTTGTAAAACAAATTGTTGGCTTTAATTTATGGTTTACTAGCAGTGCGAAAATGTAATATTTATTATTAGTATTCTCGCTAGTCTCCTTGCTTTCCTCCCACGAATACATAACTCATTTATGTTATTTAAATGCAACTTTCTATTTTTATTTAAATAAGAAATTTTCCAAAGACCAAACCAGATGCAACTCTCTAACCAAGCCGTCCGCACAAATATTTAACATATTTTTTTGCATATACAATTTTCATAAAACAATAAAGGTGAAAAGTATGCAGACACAGACACATGACTAATACTAATGGAGGTTGGAGCTGAGCTCAAATTGCAACTATGCAAATGGCAAACATGGAACATCTGACGCGTCCTGTCTCTCATACGAATGTAAATTCTGTTACAAGACACTTGGAAAAATATTTAAATTTAAAAAGAAATTATATTATTGCAAAGAAAAGTTTTGTAGAAATATTTTTATAATTTTTTAATGTATTTAAACTTTCCTTAAAACAAATTTCAAAATTTTGGGATTTAATTTCTTCATTCCTATTTACTTGTTATTTCAACCGGTTTCCAAAAATAATTTTTTTAAGTATTAGCTATTTTAATTTTTAATTTTTATAAGCTTTTCCTTTAAGTGTCGAGGTAAATGCATATTCTCATGTAGTTCTCGGTTGGATTTCGATTTCCCTAAAACAAAAACCTAGAAAAAAAGTCGCGAGAGCTGAGCTTATTCACTGGGTTATCCTTGAATGTCCCTCAGCCGGCAGCTAAATTAGCTTTTTCCTGGGTCACACACACACATATACATACACTCGCCCACAAAATAAAGAAAAGAAAAGTTGGGTGTGCTGGATAAACAAACAACACAGAAGCAAAAAGCAGCAGCAGCAGCAGCAACAATTGAAATGAAACAAACACAGAGAAAAATGCTGCAAAGTGAAATGCAATGCAGGCGGCTTTGGGTTTATAAATAGACTTTTGGGGATGGAAAAAGTGGACGGCCCTTGGGTTTGCAAGAAAATATGGGTGTAGATGGGTTGCTATAGGCCAAGGACCAAAGAAAAAAGCAGAGCAGCATTCTTTATAGCTCTTCACGTAAGCAGAAATAATAATAACAACATGTATACTTGGTGTAAATTGAAGAAAATGATGTAAATTTAAAGAAAATATTTAAAAATATAAATTATATTTAAAATAAATATTAAATAATACGGGATTACAGCTTGTAGAATTTTTTAAAGCCATCATTATCATTTTCCTTTTTTTTTTTTGGCACAATTGAGAAGTACCTAAGCAAGATTTTCCCTTGGATATTTCCTACCTTTTATAATTTTTCTTCCTTTGCCTGACGCTTTCCATTGTCGCTTTGGCTTTGGCCACACAAAAGCCCATCTGCTTTTGCCTTCCCCTTCTTGTTTTTCTGAGTCCTTTACATATCTTGTAAGAGCTCACACCCTGGTATTCACATGTGCGGCAGGTATTATTTGCTTACGTGTCCAGAGCACAGAAGACCCTCGTCTCTCGCCCACTCATGGCCACTTTAATAAATGAAAAACCTCTCACAGAGTTTTGTTTTCCACTTCTATTTGTTTATGACTGCTGCTTTTGCGCTGAAACATTTCTGCAGTGTTTATTATTGCATTTTGTTTATATTTGTCGCGCATTAGAACAAAGTCATTTCACTTTCAGCAAACAATTTTCCCGCTGGGGGAAAGCTGGATAATTATTATATGAGCCCCGAAGACGATTTGCATTATCTCTGGCTCATCTGAAGCACCAGCCCGGCTAATTGTATGCCACATGCAAATGCAACATTTACCACGGGCTAATTGCATTGCAGCACGCGCTTTAAAGTCAATGAACGATTCGCAATTCCGGAATGTGTATTACCCAGCCGCAATTGTTGGCACGCAAATGTCAAAGCTTTTTAAAATAGCCATAAAAAACGAAAAAATAAAAAACAAAAACAAGCTCAGAATAGAAGCAGACCACGAAAATAGCAACAAACGTTGTAAATTGCCAAGGCAGTAAACATAAAATGTCGTATACTCAGTGGGTTATAAAAAATGTACGCAGTGTTTGCTTTTTTCTCAGAGAAAGTTAGGAATGGGTAAGAGCAAAGCCTAAAATAAATTGGATGTAGAAGCATTTTGAGGGATAATTTATATCTTTTTATTTTTGGGGATTTTTCAGAATGGTTTAGAAATTTAAGAGAGAATTTTAATATTTAGAATGGTTATGAGGAAAAGGGTTCTATATTAACTTAGGTAAACCTCTTATGATTATGCAGAAAAGGTAAGAAATTGTTTATAATGTGATTGTGATGTTTTAAAAGTTGAAATAGTCTAAATACCGACATAAACAAACTGAATTATTATATGGATTATATATCATTTTTTGTCTGAGGTACAAACATCTCCCCATTATTTATACCGCCACTTCTGTCATAATATTCCCAGAACTAGCATAACTTTTAGGGGTAAACTGTCAAAATGGCGCCTACCGTAGGCGCCAAATATTTACATATGGGAAAGGTTGCCCTCACTGGGGGGAGGGAAACAAAATAAATAACGAGAAACCCTTTTGCAGGGCCACAAATCAAAGAGAGAAACATGAAAACAATATGTCAAATGATATTACACATTAAATTAGTTAAGACTAAGCAAATGTGTATAATAAAGCCGCCTGCCGTGTGTGCCTGTCTGCGGGAGTGCAAATGTGCGACTGTGCCAGGCTTCGTGTCAAGCATGTGTGCTCGGAAAACTCGATTTTCCTTACACTACACCTTTGGCTTCACCTTGCTACTTGGTCTCGAGCACATTTTCGCCTGCCGGCAATTTGTCACGTGACATTTTCGTTTGGCCAAAAATTACAAATGTTTTTATTATTTTTTTTCTTGGTTTGTTTTTTGGCTTTCTGTGTTTTGTTGTGCTGCCTGCATGCTTGGAGGCGTTGCCAAGGTGCGTGTTTCAGTGTTTTTGATTTTGTGGCGTGTTTACACTGAAGATGCCACAACCTGACAGTCACGGGAAATTAAAGATGAATATTTTGCCTTTACACATATAATATTTATTTTTATTTGCGGGTTAAAAACTTGGTTAAAATGCTTTTACAACTTTATTTTTAAACTGAATATTTAACTTATAAATGTAAAATGAGCTTCAATTACATTCAGATTCATTTGCGACCTACTATTTACTTGTCTCTTGGTGTTTATTTATGCATTAACCCAAATGAATGTGCATTTTAATGGAATTTCCATGTATGCATGTTTGACCACAGGTTTTTAGTGCTAATTATAAGGCTTCTTGCTAATATCTGCTAATGAATTAAGTCGAACTTTAAAGCCCTTGCTTATCGTGCATGCAAACATGCAATGTAGACGATTGAGTTCTTGTGGAAAAACAAAATGAGAGTTGGCCACAAAAGCTGTTATTAATTTTAATGTATTTTTTTGTGGGAAGTGAAATCTTGTGTTATATTTTTTGAAATGGAATACACTAATTTTGTGGAGAATAATTTAATATTTTAATATTTAGGTATTCCCTTAAAGTTTAAATGATTTTATAAGCTTTTTCACATTCAAATTTATATTCTTTCAGATGAAAATACAGTTAAATTCATTAAATTAAGGCTAGTAATCATTATTTACAATATTTAATTTAAAGCAAAATAAAAATATGTATTTTTTAAGGGTATTATTGATACAATTAAAATGAAATAAAAATTAAAACATGCTCGTTATTCCATTCTGAACTTAATATAAATATTATACAATAATGTTTAGGTTTAGGTTTAGTTTCTCATGAAATGAATAAATGGATTTATGGAAACTATTAACAATATTAGAGTAAAAAACAAGAAAGTTACATAATTAAAATGAAAATGAGTAGAATTATCATTTACAATTAATCACACAAAACAAAATCAAATGAAATTATTAGAAACAAGAGGTTGTTAGAGTGATTTTTGGTTGCTGGAATCATCGCTCGCACACTCACCTATCCCTCAGGCGAACTTTAAAGTCATCGTAGTCGCTGGTATCGATATAGTTGTTTCGCTGCTCCCTGTCCCGCTCCCTTTCCCTTTCCCGCTCCCGCTCACGTTCACGGTCCCGCTCCCGCTCACGCTCCCGTTCTCGCTGGAACTCCTGCATATTGGCCAGTTGCTTGTGAAAGAGCTCTTGCTGGGACTGCAGCAGCTCGTGGTGATCCTGCAGAGCGGCCAGCTGGGAGAGCTGCTGATGATAGGATGACTGCTGCTGCGGTGGCGGGGATGAGGAGGTCCTTGGTCGCTGATAGGGATGATGATGATGGACCTGGACCTGGTGATGATGATGCCGCTGGAGGGTTCTATTCACTGAGTGCTGCTGATGATGGCTCTGCTGACTGTGATTAAGCTGCTGCATTTGATGGTGACTGCTGACCCTAACCTTCAGCTGGGTGAGCTTGTGGCAGGCATTGGCATCCACCTCGGCCAGTCCAAAGTCCAGCTCGGCCTGGGCCTGCACCTCATAGGCCTGTTGCGCCTGCTGCAGTCGTTCTCGTTCGCTGCGCGGTGAATTCGCCAGCTGCTCGGCCGGTGGCTCAATCTCCACCGCCGAGTACTCGTAGTCGAGGCGATGCTGGTGATGATGGTGGTGGTGATGGAGCATCGACTGGCTGCTCTTGCTGTCCGCCGTCACTGCGCCTGTGCCGGGCGTGGCGGTGGCTATTTTACCAGCCAGCGCGTCCAGCGAACTCAACATCTTAACTCGCTTTTGCTGGTCAGTGTCGGCGGTGGTGGTGGCTATCGTCCTCTAGATCGGCTCTCGCTTATCCAGTTTGGAGCAATTGCTTTACCTTGAGCCTTTATCTCGCACTCTTGCCTCTTGTTGTTCCCCTTTATTAGAGATCTCTCTTTAACTTGCCTTTCGGATACTGTTTGTGAAACTATTGCTTATAACTTGCCTGAGGGAGAAGTTGGGAGGCGAATTGCAATGGATTAGTAAGCTTAAATGAATAGGTTTTAGTCAAGATAAAGATGATAAATGATGAGTGTGCGGCATTACATTTTTAGGCAAATCAAAATCAGTCACAGGTTGGCAAAAAAATACCACTATTATTTGTTTGTTTTGTGGCTTAAATAAAGAACCAGTTCACTCACACACCCTCTTAAGCTCACACACACTCCGGGTCATACACGTCCTGCCTTCTGTCTGTCTGCCTGTCTGTCTGTGTGGTTGCAAAATGCAAACACTTGAGCTAGAAAAGGACCAACTTGAAAGGCAAAAAGCGAGCAAAAAGGAAAGGGATCCTGGTCTCAGCGACGGAGTGGTTGCCACTCGCATTGTGTGCAGTGTTTGTCCACCCGTTGGTGCACTCCATCCCCCCTGAGACTACCTCTGGCAATTCAAACATCCCTCTGGTGGGGGCCAAAGTCCTTCCTGCTTTTGTGGTCAAAATAATTGGGGGACACATGCAAATAATATAAATCAACAGCAAAGCTACACATTTAATACCAGAAACTCTTTTGGACATATTTTAAATATGGTTTTTAATTAATAAAAGTATGCAAAGGTCCAGACATGACTTTCCCAAAGAGATGCTTAACCTTGTCAACTCCAACTTAAGCACCACTTGACACAACCCATAGATTAAGTATCTGTAAACTACATTGAATTAGCAAAATCTTAGTTTACTGTGCCAAGGAGCGGCAGCTCTTGTGCCATCACTCAGTTACGATTATTTGTGGATTATCTCCAGGTCCAGGGCAATGAATTTAGATTGCAATACTTTGTGGTTAGCCAGGAGACTTTAGAGAATGCCAGCAAGGAGCTGGGAAGAAGCAAGCTGACCACATTTCATGGTAGTATCTAGACATTGTCCTGCTACTACCAGCACTCCATCCTTATCCTTATCCACTCCACTCCACTCAACACCTGCAATATCTTCAATCAAATTTCCAGCTTACAACAAAGATCCATTGTTGTTGTGGCCAGGTTTTGTATCTACAAAAAAAAAAAGAAGATTGAGGGAGTGGTAGGAGCGGATGAGGATACTCCTTGATGTTTGTTGTATGACATACTATAAAAGTCAACTTGAATGCGCTGTGTAAATTTCACCACATTTCTTTCTCCCAGAAGCCCCATTTTCTATGTCTAGTGCCAGGGCTTGCAACTTTAAGTAGTTCTCCCTTGGTATATCCCTTGGCCCACCCACTTCTTCCTTTTCTCTATCCGGCTATGTTGGTTGCATTTGAAAGGAATTTGCCTGTTACAAGATTTTACTCTTTGCAATTTACACGCGTCGACCGCTTTTCCATAAGCACACAAATGCAACTGAAACACACATGAACAGCGGGGGCTATAAAAATAGAACCAATGAACCTAAAAGATTAAAAACAAAATAAAAAATTGTTTTAATAAAACAAAACAACAAAATTAATTTATATAGTTCCAAAATATAATATATAATTATTATAAAATTTATTTTTAGAAAAAAAAAATGGAATATCAGTTTCTTTTTTTTAGCTCTAATTGCTATAATTATGACCTTAGCTGTGCATGTGCACCAGTATTTGTTGGGCTGTTGCAAGCCGTTGGCTTTTGTAAATGTTACTTCCTTATTACATGGCATTATATTATTGCAGATACATAGAAAGACTCCGGCTATCAAAGTAGTCCCTGCCACATAGAGTAAGGGGAATACATAGATGTAGAAGCTGGAGGAGAGAATGAGAATGCAGGAAAAGCTTGTTAAATGTTTTCCAGGATGTTTGCCCACGCAGGATGTCTTTGCAGTCAACAGAAACGGAAAGAAAGAAATCTCGGTGCTTGTAATTAGCAAAACGAAGCCAGATCTTAGGCAGCTCATTTTTAAGATAAATTTAAAGTCTTGTAATTTAAGAAAGAGTGAAGAATTATAAGCAGAATTTGCTTTAAAAATTCCTTTAAAAATATTTGGAAATTTCCTAACAAACAAATAAAATTTAACCGGAGAACTTGACTAAGAACAGTTACCAAAGGAGCTACATCATAAACTCCCATTTCGCTTTAATCCTTTAAAAAACAATTCAACAAACTTAATTAGTCATTCAAGCACAACCCACAGCCTCAAGGCAAAAGGACGGGCTCCAGACAGCTGAAAGTCAGCAGTTCCACTTTTTGTCCTTTTCATTAGCAATCGCATAATAGAATTTGAAAAGGCTTTAAGAACAGAACTCCCCTCTAGCCTCTCTCTGCGTGTGTTATCAAAACTAACAAATGGAAAAAAGAAGAGGAATGATGGGGATAAATTAAAAAAATAAAACTGAGAAAAGAAAATCGCGCTAGACGAGAAAATTCTCGGAGCTTCAAAGACAAGAGCGCCATAACCCAAAAACATAAATCCTTTGGCAAACAAAAAGAATAGAGTGAACGGGCAAAAGGAAAAATGAATATGCTTCAACTTTCAGAGAGATATATACTATAAAGAAGTGGAAAAAAGTTGATAAGCGGCAACGGGAAAGCTCTTTAACACCCTGGGAAGATAACAAATAAAAAACTGAGAGAAAAGACACATACATTAAATGCGGATATATAAAAATGAAAATAAAAAGAGTTTTGCAATCTTGAGAGTGACTTATTAAAGTAATTAAATTTACCTTCCATCTAAGCTAGAACCCGTTGGGAATCCTAAGCGTCGAAGCGAAGGCAATAGCAAACCTCGAAAATCGGCAAGTTCTTTTTGCTGTTTTCGAACCAGTTGTTTGGCCGAGGCCAAGATTAAGAGCTTATACGTATTCCTAATTAAATTTGTTGAAGTAAATAAAGCAAAGTGTAGGTATAGTAATTAAATTTCCTTAATCCAACCTATGTATTTACTTTAGCTTTTGAAATCATCACCAATCACCATACTTTCAAGAACAATAAGTCTTAATATGCTATTAACACCCAACTGTGACACACAATTTCCTGTGCATTATTTTCCATGAATAAGAGCAAATATTCCTTTTAGGCCAGCATTTAATCAAATGAAGCGTTTGTTGCAACAACAAACACCAAATACTGGCTGTGATATTGGAAGGAGATTGATACTCGCTTGGACAGACAAATCACTTGCATAAATTGTCAGCTGGCAATTTAATAAACAATGCAAACTCAGGGCTAAAATAATTAGACATTTATGGACATGTGCCCGAAGCTATGGCAATGTAAATGTAAATGAATCGAGTAACTAATTAAGCAGGAGGCCAGGCAAGGATGGAGAACGCCTCGGAGGATGGCCCAGAAACCCGAATAATAATACTGATTTCTCTTCATAAATCAGGCAAGTGTTTCCCTGTTCAAATCAGCTACATATTGTTCTCTTTAAAGTCTTGTTGCTGTCGGGGAAGGAAGCTTGGAAGTTAGGAAATTAAATATGGCACACAATGGCCATGGTTGCTTTTGCTTTGCTTTTTGGTTTATCAAGAAGAAAGTCTCAACCGCACCAAAACCCCAAAAAGTCACGATGAGCAGGAGAAAGCAATTACTTTCTGCTTTGCTTGTTGCTTCTCCTAGAAGACGGGGAGGCGTCTTCCCTTCTTCTTTCTGCAAAAAATTGGGGAATAGAAAACTTTTTGTGGCCCTGACAGCAGTTTATGCTACACTTGCTCTAACTCAAACTGTCAATATTTTACTTTAAGACGCACGGCCACAACGGCTGTGGAGAGTAGAAAGTCGAGTCGAGTAGCACAGCCACATCATTTGCTATAAATTCACTTCATGCTTGTGCTTCTTGCTTCTGCTTCGGCTCCTTGTTGCTACTCCTTCTCCTACTCCTGCTATAACGACCCAAAACTCAGCAGAACAGAACAACAAAGTGGTAAATTCTGTTTTGGGGCGGTTCCAGACATAAATTTCGCCTCCTTGATTTTTATTTCTTAAGGGTATTATAAAAAAAATAAATTAAAATTACAAATGTCTCTAAAAGAAATTCAAGAAATTTAAAAATATAATAATAAGAGATATTAAAGTTAACTTTAAAAATCAGTTGATTTTCCCTATTTCAAACCTCTTCTAGCTGTACTTTGCCGTCGGTGCTGAGCATGTGTTTCCCTGGCAGATTTAAGACGAAACCAAAACCCACACCTCCCGAATTGAAAGCCACCCACAAATTTTGAGGTCATCTTGGGAGGGACTGGCATAAATCTGAGAGCAAACTACACCGAGAGGCAACCAAAACTGTCTTGGACAGGACGGACAGGACTCCGTTGGGCAACGGCGGCGAGTCCTTGGCAGTGGACTTTGAACCCCATGTTGATGCTGGTAATCAAGGCATTAAGTGTGTTTACTGTTTATTTTATTAGACTTTAAGGCTTAATAGCTTAGACGAGAGCATTTTTGGGGCCAGCCTTTGTTTCGCCCTCAACCATTCAAGTATTTAATTAAAGTCAACTTTGATTTAATTAAAAGTTCTAGCACTGGCCCAATATTTTGCTCATGAATTATTTATGCCAACAAGTAAGGTACGAAAAAAATCATTTAAAAAACCAAGGCCCAAAGGGGAGAGGCGATTGCTGAGATGCTGGAATAACAGGAACTGCGACAAGTTACAAGTTTGCACCGCAAAATAAGAAAAACTCTTACTCTCATTAGAGTGAAACTTTGTCCAGGACGGAGACTATAACCTTTCGTATTTCCCTTAATATTCCCCTTCCTCCTTTTGAATGCTCAACTTTTTCGTTTAACTTGTTTTATTTTTTGCGTTTTTTCACTCCCTCCTTTTCTATTTATCTCGTGCAGGACTTGGTCAATTTCCTGGTCAGTTTTGTAACATTGTCGACGTGTCCAGCCATCGACTGTCGTCGTATTTTTCTTTATTGTTAATCTGTCAATTTTCGTGGAAATTTTCTGCAATTGCACTTATCTTGGCGAAAGCACACTTTTCCGGAAAATATTTATTATTGTGGCTTGGCGAGGATTTTGTATATAGCAATTTAATATGGA